ATTCCTGAGTGACTTCACTTAGAATAATAGTCCCCAGTTCCATTCAGGTCGCTGTGAATGCCATTATTTCCCTTTTCATGGCTGAGCAGTATTCCATGCTGTATATATATATAATTGTAATATATATATTATTGTAATATATATATTTATTTATATTTATTTATATATATATTTATTATTGTAATATATATATATTACAATTTCTTAATCCACTGGTTGGTTAATGGGCATTTAGACTGGTTCCATATTTTTGCAATTGTGAATGGTGCTGCTATAAACATGCAGGTGCATTTATGTTTTTTGTATAATTCTTCTCCTTTGGGTAGATACCCAGCAGTGGGATTACTGGATTAAATGGTAGATCTGCTTTTAGTTCTTTAAGGAATCCTCACATTGTTTTCCACAGTGGTTGTACTAGCTTGTGTTCCCACCAGCAGTGTAATATGGTATATTTTTTCTTTTTTCTTTCTTTTTGAGATGGAGTTTAGCTCTTGCTGCCCAGGCTGGAGTACAACAGTACAATCTTGGCTCACTGCAATCTCTGCCTCTCGGGTTCAAGTGATTCTCCTGCTTCAGCCTCCCATATAGCTGGAATTACTGGCTTCCACCACCTTACCTGGCTAATTTTTGTATTTTTAGTACAGATGGGGTTCTACCATGTTGGCCAGGCTGGTCTCAAACTCCTGACCTCAGGTGATCCACCTACCTCGGCTTCCCAAAGTGCTGGGATTACAGGTGTGAGCCACTGTGCCTGAACAATATGGTATGATTTTAAAAGGCTGGAAGAAAAGATTTTGAATGTTCACACAAAAAAAGAAAAGATGAATGTTTGAGGGGATGGATATGCTAATTATCCTGATTTAATCATTACACAATGTATCCATATGGAAATACTATTCTGTATCACTTAACTATGTACAATTTTTTTTTTTTTTTTTTTTGAGACGGAGTTTCGCTCTCGTTACCCAGGCTGGAGTGCAATGGCGTGATCTCGGTTCACCACAACCTCTGCCTCCTGGGTTCAGGCAATTCTCCTGCCTCAGCCTCCTGAGTAGCTGGGATTACAGGCACGCACCACCATGCCCAGCTAATTTTTTGTATTTTTAGTAGAGACGGGGTTTCACCATGTTGACCAGGATGGTCTCGATCTCTTGACCTTGTGATCCACCCACCTTGGCCTCCCAAAGTGCTGGGATTACAGGCTTGAGCCACCGTATGTACAATTAATTATACGTCAAATAAAAATAAAGAGGAAAAACACTTCACAACAATATGTATGTGATAAAACAAATACAGTACTCAGAAGGAAATTTATAATTCTGGATATATTTATCAGAAAACACATGAGATCAAAAACAAATCACCTAAGCCTGTGCCTAAATGCAGAGCTTGGTTGCACTGAAAGGTTTTCTCTGTAGTTTTAATTCAGTGCAGGAAGATTTGAGGAGCTATGCCACCTCCTTACTTTCTCCTTATCAAAGATGTCCATTTATATCCATCTAGGCGCTGGCAGAATCATGTGGCTGGAAGTGTATGTTTTCCTCCCTTCTATCAGAGCTCAGTGATATGACTTATTACACCAGCCCCCCACATCCACTCAGCGACATGGCAGCAGCTGCTCATTTCAGTGCCAGCCCACAGCTTTCCACTGCTGACTGTACAGGGTCCTCGCCCCAGGTATCTGTGCCTACCTTAAACATGCTCAGAACACTTACGGTAGCCTGCAGTTGGGCAAAATCATCTCACACAGAGCCTATTTTATACTGAAGTGTTGAATATCTCACGTAATTTATTGAATATTGCATTGAAAGTAAAAAAAAAAAACGAAGTGTTTGTGTGGGTACTTGAACAGTTTCTGCTATATTGACAATTAGCCGAATAAATTAGTTATCATTTGTGTGAAACTTCCTTATTTGAGAATTGAAAAGTAGGCCGGGTGTGATGGCTCATGCTTATAATCCCAGTACTTTGGGAGGCCAAGGCCGGCAGATCACTCAAGGTTTGGAGTACAAGACCAGCCTGGTCAACATGGCAAAACCCTCTCTCTACTAAAAATACAAAAAGTAGCCAGGCATGGTGGCAGGCACCTGTAATCCCATCTACTTGGGAGGCTGAGGCACAAGAATTGCTTGAACCAGGGTGGTGGAGATTGCAGTGAGCCGAGACTGGGCCACTGCACTTCAGCCTGGGCAACAAGAGTGAAACTGTGTCTCAAAAAAAAAAAAGAATTAAAAGCTATATAAACTATAAAACAGGAGTAACTGCTCTGGCCCTATATACACACACACATATATATGCATACACGCATACACACACACAGAGGAGAGAGAGAGAGAGAGAGCACTTAGTTCTGTTTTGCTCCAGGTTCTGAGGATATAGCAATAAACCAAAATGGCAAATATCCCTGCCCTGGGATCTTACAATCTAGTTGAGGGAAAGGCAATAAAATAAATAAATATATTGTATGAAGATGCTGGGGAGAAAAGTAAAGCAAGTAATGGACAAAGGGAGAGCGGGAGGTGCCTGTCAATGATGAAAGGGTGAATTTAGAGCCTACATCTGACCCCAACCAGGAAAAGGCGATGGTGTCGGCATTCTCTAGTCAACCATTGCCCTAACTTTTTTCACTTCCTTTTCTTCATCCCTGATCCTATCAAAACAGCCACCAATTTCTTCAGTCTCTTCATTCTTAAAGTTTCCATCCTCCACGGCTCCTCCTGACGTCCTCGTCCTGCCTCCTCCCGCCAAGGTCCCGCTCACACCTTTCCCCTTCCAGGAAGCCTCCCAAGCTCCTTGGCCTGAACTGTGTTCTGTGCTATTTAATTCTCAGCAACTCTCTGTGGGCCACTTAGCACTGGCTGCCATAACTGTGCAAGTTCAAATGAAAATCCCAATTATAGTGCTTGTGGGATGAAACATTCTGTATCAAAGTACATAAATGATTCGAAAAAAACTGTAGAAGCTACAGCTTCTCCTCTTGGTGTTACCTCTCCCTGAGTTCTAACTTCCAGAGCTACCCGGAACTCCCTCCCTCCACCCTTCCCTATCTTAAAGTATACAAAGCGACTCTGCTATTTGTCATTTATACTTGACCAGCACAGTGATTTCATTTAGTGGGCATAAATTTCAATGTGTCACCTCAACTAGGATTTGCATTTTAAGATTTCAGTCTGATTCGGGAAAATTCCCAGCCTCACCCAGTATGCTGGGAGAAGTGTGGGCAGTTGGGGGGTTTTGGAGTCTGCTTCCAGAATGTCTCTTTCTGGCTTTCCTGCGATGAATGAATTAACAGTTTGCTCAATTGCAGCTGTGGAAAACTGCCTTCATGGTCAAGGACGTTTTCCAGAATCTAACATTTGCCCTCCCCCACTCCAAACTCCCCTCACTTCTCCCCTCCCGCCATGATTCAGCTACATGTAAGTTTCAACTCACAGCCTCCCAGGAGAGGCCTCGGCACCCTGAAGAGCGGCACTCCCTTTTGAGAAGTGCCACACAGAGAGGGACATTCTTTCCCCGGAAGGACCGCCTAAGGGGGAGGCGAGTGTCTCTGTATGAGGTTGTTATAAATAGAACCCCAATCTTCACAGTTAAGTTTCTCAGCATAAAGGAATATTCGGTGTCAAGTTCATCAATCCCCTTTTTGTTGTGAATTTGGGTTGCTTGAACCCAAGACCCAGAAGCCAATAACTCCCACTGGAGCAACTATGAAGGGAAGCCCTTCGTCTGCTCATGATCACAGCCAGCCCCTGGATGGGTCTTCAGGGATGCCAGCAAGGAGCCCTGAATCTCGCCAGGACCCTGTATCCTTACTACCACAGTAAGATGATGAAATCCATTTCAGATCCATTACCTCACAGTCTTATCTCCCCACTCTGAATACAAGCTCATTCTGGGAAAAATGAGCTCCCTATAAAAGGGGGGCCTGCCAGTTCTAGCACCTTGTATATGACATGGATTTCTTTCTCACATTAATTGATCAAACAGGTACAAAAGCAGGAATCCATCATGAGTTGTCTGTGGATGGGCCTCTGGTGGGAGGGCAGCAGTCTCATGGCATTTTCAAGCTACTAGCTTTCGAGACATACACGTGATTGAAATCGACAGCGTCACCCCATGGCTGACTGTGGGGGATCTGAATGTCAACAACAACAGCAAAAAAAAAAACAAAAAACAGCACAATGAAGTTCTGAGATTCACGTCTAGTGTGTTTTGTGAAAAGGGACAAGACTTTCAAGTGTCCACCACGCCTGCAAGCTTTCCCTCATACATGACTCATTGGAAACATGAGGTTGTAAATTACTTCAAACTGGTGGGGCCTGTTCTTAGGGATGCCAATTAGCATGGACTCTGGATTGACAAGGATGAGACCCTTGTGTGAGCCATTCAACTCTCTGTGAAGTTACCAGTGATGAAACTGATGTTCTGAGGCAAAATCCCTCATCAGTGGGATTATTAGCTACATGGGCAAGAAAACGACACTGCTTAGTGAAAAAGAAGAAAAACATTTTAAGAAAAATCACCTTATCAATAGAATTTGTTTTGGCAGCTTTAATGATGAGTGTAATAAGCAGCCAGCCACCATGCCTCGTTCTTCTCAGCTGCATCTAATCTCACACCTGTTCATACTCATTAATCCTTAACATCTGATAGCATTTCCAGAATTTCCATGGAAAGGGAGCATTTTCTCCTCATCTCAGTAATTAACTGTGCCGTGCATACAGCTGAGGAGAAAACCTAGCAAGTGCCCAGGAATGATAAGCAGGGTCCTAACTGAGCTGCAGGGTCCAGGCTGTCCATGGGGTGCAAACTGTGGTCTGTGGGACACCCAGAGAAAGAAAGGCCTGTTCTCTCTCTCTGACACCCCTGAAGCTGCAGGTCAGCAGCAATGCTCACTGAGCCAACAACTGGAGCTCTCTCTTCATCTAATCAAATGCATTCTAATTGCAGGTTTGATATTGTTTACAGATACACAATGTATTAGTCTGTTCTCATGCTGCCAATAAAAACATACCCGAGACTGGATAATTTATAAAGGAAAGATATTTAATGGGCTTACAGCTCCACATGGCTGGGGAGGCCTCACAATCATGGCAGAAAGCAAAGGAGGAGCAAAGTCACATTGTACATGGCAGTAGGCAAAAGAGCTTGTGCAGGGGAACTCCCATTTATAAAACCATCAGATCTCATGAGATTTATTCAATATCACAAGAACAGCACGAGAAAGACCCAACCTCATAATTCAATTACCTCCCACCAAGTCCTCCCTGGCAGGTGGGAATTATGGGAGCTACAATTCAAGATGAGATTTGGGTGGGGACACAGCCAAACCATATCCATTATTGAATTTTCTCCCTGGAAAAATCCCTAAGCCACATGAACAGTAATTATGTTTAGTAGAGTACCCAAATTAATGGGGATTTGAAGGTTTCCAATGACCCACACTGTCTATTAAGGACTGATACTAGAATTACTAGAATTATGTAGGAAGTTGCAAAGACATTCGCAGCCACGTGGGGTGATCTTCTTGGGAGGGAGCAGGACAGAGGCAGTAAAAGTTACTCCTGCAATGCCCTTCTTGCAATGACTCTGCCTCAGTCACAGCATGTTTTTCTAAGAATCTGTTTGTCAGAATGGTGCTCTGATATATTCCCTGTCAGTGCTTACTTCTGGAGGAGGCTGTGGTTTATGTGAACACTGGAACGCTTCTGGGCATGGGCTGTGGCTCAGCGAATGTCATCAGTGACTGACCCTGGAGACCAGGCTCTGCTGAGGCTCTGCCATGACTGGCTCTGCCTTCTCTGTTTTCTGAGTCTTTCTTACCTGAAACAGAGAAAAGCAGAAAAGACACGCCTCCAGGGAAGCGATTTTGGTTGCCGCTGGGGGAGTTTTGCCAGGGCTGACATCTGATTCTGAGAAAACACACACTCCATTTCTGGCTCAGAGCCACAACTGGCCTCCTTCCCTGAATCCCTTACTGAGGGAGACCCACCTTCTCAGCCAGCCAGTCCTGGAAACTGTGCCCTGAACCAGCCCACAAAGCTCCTCGCCCTCTGTGGGAAATGCTACTCTTACTTTACCACCTCAGATGTGTCTACCTGCATGTCTGTCTGCAAGAATTAAGGACTGTCCTGGGGTGCAGAGGACTTTGTCATGGGGCGCAGAGGACTTTGTCATGGCTCATACTGCATTCCGGGATCGTGCACAAGGCCTGGCACATCAGAGGCACATCGTGGATGTCTTCCTAATAAACAAGCAGATGTGTGGGTCCACAGACTCCTTTCCCATGCGTCCTCCCGCCCTCAGACTTCACTTGGCCTTTCATTATTCTCCTTCCCCTCCATTCCAACGTGGCATCTGATTTTACCTGGACAGATAGTGGGGAAAAAGCAGAAAGCAGCATGGGATCTTCTCAGGAACATCTTCATGCTGGCCCCAACAGACACAAATAGTTCAGAGAGCAGTCCTCACTCCCAGATGTACTGATCTGAGATCATCCCAGGGCACAGGTCTCCCGACCTGCCAAGGGGTGACCCACATCCAACTAGAGCCCACTACAAACTGACCACAGAGAACCAGACATAGTCTGATTATTTGCATTTAAACAACCTTCCATCTTTCTCTACTTCCTTCCACCCTACCTCCTTCCCTCCCTCCCTTCCTCCATCCCTTCCTTCCCTGTTACTCAACCAGTTACCAGATTTCATGGGAGAAAGAGTTGGTTCTCTCCCCTCACTCTCCCAGGTGCTCCCAAATTTAACCCACTTAATCTGATCCAAAACAAGACACTGACCTGCAAGACTTGTGGGCGGGACCCTCCAGAGGGCGGAGCTTACTGCTCTCCCGCACACTGACTGGCCCTGGGACTCTGAACATCTCACTCTACCAAGCTTTCTCGTTTTCCGAAAGTGAGATGACCCGATGTGCCCTGGTTTCCTCCTGAGTCCCTCAGGGAATCCCATGGAATCCCAGAAAACCGCATGTGAGGGGCTCTGCAAATGTAAATTCCTACCCGAGGGAGTAGTCATTGTTTCTCAGCCGGTAAGTGTTTGGAATTTTGTAGTAAATTAGAGGAGAAACTGTCCTGCCACCTTATTTTTTTTCAATTTAGAGACAGGGTCTCACTGTGTTGCCCAGGCTGGAGTGCAGTGGCACAAACACCACTCACTGCAGCCGCGAACTCCCAGGCTCAAGCCATCCTCCCACCTCAGCTTCCCAAGTAGCTAGGACAGGAGCACGCCATCAACTCCAGTTATTTCTTTAAAAATTTCTGTAGAGTTAGGGGTCTCACTATGTTACCCAGGCTTGTCTCAAACTCCTGACCTCAATCAATCCTCCCACTTCAGCCTCCCGAAGTGTTGGAATTACGACGTGAGCCACCGCACCCAGCCCAGAGAGCTCTTTTTAAAACATAATTCTATTTATGACATTTTCTAATTAAGACCTATTTATGGGACATGGCCCCCAGTCCACATATAGAGAGGAAAAAAAGTAGATTAAATAGAAACACAGAACACTGAAGGCATAATGAGGCTCCAGTAACAAGTTAAATCTCCCCATGAACCAGAAGCAGAAGAGAAACCCAAGTCAGTGGGCTCTGCTGGAGCCGGGGGCCTGCAGACGGCTGTTCTGGAAGGAGGCTGGGCAGTCTGCAGTTTGGTGCCACTGGGGTAAGGAAGACACAGTTACTCCACTCAAGGATCTGGGACTAGCATCACTCACCAGCTCCCACCCCCGCTCCCAATACCCACCCATAAAAGAAACTAAAACCTGTGGCTGACCCTCCTCTTGGATCTAGAGTTTTGAATAAGCTACAAACCAAGGAAGGAAAAAGAAGACAGAAACGTAGTGTTCAAACAAGACAGGAAGGAAGCCACAGTGTATCCCCAAAGCCACCGTGGGGAGGAGCACCGCAGCACCGCTAGGTTTAGCGCAGGGAGTCCTGAACAGCTGCACAAAGGTGACCACAAAACCCCAGGCCCGGGGGGCGTGAGCACAGAAGGAAACAGAAAGAAGAAAACAAAAACAAAGGCCTCCCACTCCAAATAAGGCTGCAAAGCAAAATTCCAAAACAGAGGAAGAAATCTAATATGGAGAAAGACAGCCAAGAAAATCAACCTTCAACACGTGAATACGCCCCCGAGGTAATTAAGTGCGTGGATCGAGCTGGCAAAACTTTAAAATAGGTAGGTTCGGCTGCCCAATGAGATAAATGAATCACTTCCATTTTAAAAGTGTGAGAAATTAAAAGCAGATGTAAATGAAACAAAAAAATGCCCGCAACACAGTACAGAAAGATTACGTGCACTAACATCCACAGAGAATGAGCGGAGCTCGGTGTCCAACAGGAATTCTCTAAGAAGGAAGCAGACAAAATGCTGAAGAAACATTATTCAGAATTTAAAATTTTCCAGATTTGAAGAGACATGAATCCTCAGATGGACAGCACGCCCCAACTACCCATCAGAACAAAGAATGGTAAAGCCATTTCCAGAACTGTCACAGCAAAACTACAGAACATGAAGAGTAAAAAGAAAATGTTTACAGCTGCCAGAGAGAAAAGACAGATGACCTGCAAAGGAGCTACAGTTAGAACAACACTGGAACTTCTCATCAGCAACAATACGTGATGGAAGACAAGGAAATCCTGTCTTCAACTGGATAAGAAAATTAGTAACTGTCGATCTCATGTTTCATACACAGATAAACTATTAATTCAAGACTCATGGTGGGGAAATCTGTGTTTAGAAAAATCAAGAGCTAGATACCCACAGACCCTCACTAAGAAAACAATTAAAGGGTTATTTCAGGGGGAAGAAAAAGTAAACTCCAAGGTATATGTATATAGAGTTTTAAAAGTAAAGATGATTTGGGAAAAAGGTAATTTGTTTTTCAAGATGAAGTTCCACTCTTGTTGCCCATGCAATGGCTGATCTCTGCTCACCACAACCTCCCCCTCCCCAGTTCAAGCCATTCTCCTGCCTCGGCCTCCCAAGTAGCTGGGATCACAGGCATGTGCCACCAAGCCAGGCTAATTTTTTGTATTTTTAGTAGAGACTGGGTTTCCCCATGTTGGTCAGGTTGGTCTCAAACTCCCAACTTCAGGTGATCTGCCCGCCTTGGCCTCCCAAAGTGCTGGGATTACAGGTGTGAGCCACCGCGCCCAGCCCGGGTGGTGAGCGCCTATAATCACAGCTACTCAGGAGGCTGAAGCAGGAAAATCCCTTGAAGGCGGGAGGCAGAGGTTGCAGTGAATCAAGATTGCGTCAGTGCACTCCAGCCTGAGCTACAGAACGAGACTCCGTCTCAAAAAAAAAAAAAAAAAATTCAAAATAGGATGGTAAAAAATATTTTCATTATAAATGTTTTAGTAAACATATTTATTAAGTGAAAAAAAATATTTTTTAGAAAAGAAACTAAAGCCAATGCTAAGATGGATACAATAGTCCACAAATGGTTGATATGAGCCCATGTCATATTCAGGGCAGTAAGAAATACTATATTAGAAAAACATAAAGTTAAGGGTGTTGGTTAAAACATTAAAAATAACTGAAAAATGGAAACACGATGTGTAGCTTCCAAATCAGTACAGGTTTAAAGGGGGGACTCTAGAAAACTTCGCTGATCCAATAAAGAGCAGAAAAGTGAAAACAGAAAGGCAAATAAAGATGGTATAAAGAAAATTCAAGCCAGGCGTGGTGGCTCACACCTGTAATCCCAGCACTTTGGGAGGTCGAGGTGGGTGGATCAGTTGATGTCAGGAATTCAAGATCAGCCTGGCCAGCATGGTGAAACCCTATCTCTACTAAAAATACAAAAATTAGCTGGGCATGGTGGTGCACACCTGTAATCCTAGCTACGCAGGAGGCTGAGGCAGGAAAATCACTTGAACCCGGGAGGCAGAGGTTGCAGTGAGTCGAGATTGTGTCAGTGCACTTCAGTTTGGGCTACAGAATAAAACTCTGTCTCAAAAAAAAAAAAAAAAATAGGGTGGTAAAAAAATGTATGAGTAAATACATTAAATGTAAAAGGATTTACCCATATATTCAAAGATAGAGATTATCCAATGATGTTTTTTCTTTTTTAATTGCATTTTATGTTTTGGGATACATTCAAAGAACATGCAAGATTGTTGCATAGGTACACACATGGCAGTGTGATTTGCTGCCTTCCTCCCCATCACTTATATCTGGCATTTCTCCCCATGCTATCTCTCCCCAACTCCCCACCCGTCGCCATCCCTCCCCTATTTCCCCCCAACAGATCCCAGTGTGTGATGCTCCCCTCCCTGTGTCCATATGTTCTCATTGTTCAATACCCACGTATGAGTGAGAACATGCGGTGTTTGATTTTCTGTTCTTGTGTCAGTTTGCTGAGAATGATGGTTTCCAGGTTCATCCATGTCCCTACAAAGGACACGAATTCACCCGTTTTTTTATGGCTGCATAGTATTCCATGGTGTATATGTGTCACATTTTCCCTTATCCAATGATTTTAAAAATAGGCCAGGGGTGCTGGCTCACCCCTATAATCCCAGCACTTTGAAAGGTCAAGGCAGGAGGATCCCTTGAGGCCAGGAGTTCGAGACCAGACTGGGAGACATAGCAAGACTCCATCTCTACAAAAAAATAAAAATGATTTGGGTGTGGTGATACACACTGTGTCCCAGCTGCTCAGGACTATGAGGCAGGAGGATAGCTTGAGCCCAGGAGGTAGAAGATACTGTGAGCTATGATCTCACCAATGTACTCCCACTGGGCAAATAGTAAGAGCCCGTTTTTGAAAATAAAAACTTCTGCTGTATGCTATTTGTACAAGAACATCTAAAACAAAAGACCCCAGAGAATTAAAAAGAAAGGAGAAATAATACAACAGGCAAACACATATATTAAAAACAAGCCTATTACAGCAATGTTAATAGTAGGCAAAATATGAATTAAGAAAAAATGAGTAAGAAGAGATGGAAGAGGGTTGGGAAGGAACGGTCGTATACAATTCTGCACTCAAAGAACTAGCAATATACATTCTTTTTACCTCAAATATTTTGTAATAATGAGATTTTAGGTCACAAAGGAAGTCTCAATGAAGGTCAAAGATTTAGTATAATATAAACCACACTTTCTCATCAAAATGTAATCAAATTTCTAGAAATATACAAAGATAGCACCGGAAAAGTGTGATTAGAAACAGTAAGTGCCCAAAATTAACTCATAAGTAAAACAGAAATTCACCATAAAAATTAGC